ACTGTTAGCCCATAGCCAGACCAGTTTATTCATATATATGTTGATTTCATAGTTTGTTATTAATTGTGCTGAGTATTCAGTGCTGGTTCCGGCGGAGCACCGTTGATTCCTTTGTGTTCACGCCTCCCCACTACCCTATTTTTCAGGTGATGGAGTCCCGCGTGTAGCGTGAGCCAGATGTGGTGGTGGTCATCAGCTAGGATATTTTGTTATGACGTCTTATAGTTATTTGAATATGTTTAAACTTTCTTTTGTCGTCGCATGTTTACTTATGTTTGTGTGTGCTTCCAACTATTTGTGCTTCCGCATTTCAGAACTGTGACTCAGAATTTCAGAACTCTATGTCAGTATTTCAATATTCTAGTATTTCAGAATTTCAGACCCTTATTTTAGTATTTGCGAATTTCAGAATGCATGAGTGATCCGAGTAAGTTTTTCATGGCCTTAATTCTAGAATGAATTTTACTTGGTTGCATGCATAGTAATTAAAGAGAATAACTTTCAGATAGTAGCATCCCACGTTTTTAAAGTTAAAATATTTTTGAAAAATTAATAAGAATTTTTAAAAATTAAATAAGTGCCTTCCATTTATAGCTCGGAAAATTTTCCCTGATTTTAGTAAGTCTTGGCGGGGTGTTACAGTTGGTATCAGAGCCAGATAGTGGTTCTGTATACTGAAATTTTATTGAGATGTGACCACACCACGCTCACGCCTCGCCGACTCCGAGGTATGTCACCCGTACAACTCTTATTTGCTAATGCATATTTAATTATAGTCAGATTATTTCAGGGGCGTTAGATCTATCCTTCGATTAAGATTTGAGAATTCTAGTCAGAACTCTAGTAAGAACTTAGAAGATTTTATTGTAACCGGGACTCTAGTCAAGCTAGGTGTTTTCGGCAATTCGATAAATTATTAAAGTATAGTATAGCTATTTATTAATCGGCTATACTGTTTCAGTTAGAATTTAAGCAGAGATAGTTAACTTTGAGAGTTTCTGTTAACTTTTCTGAGTAATTAATTCTCCATCAATTATTTAATACTTCCTGCTAATTCCTGTCATTTGACCATTCAGATGCCTCCTTGTCGAGCCCCGAATCCATGCCGAGCACGAGCCTCGCCCGAACCAGCTCTGCGTGCACCACCGCCCCCGCCGGACGCGCCAGTGCGCGACCAGGACTTTTCAGTTTCTCAGTTCCGCGGGACAGAGTTGAGGTTCAGTACCGCTTTCCACCTGCAGACCGACGGCTAGTCGGAGCGGACCATCCAGACACTCGAGGATATGCTTCGAGCATGTGTTCTGGATCGTGGTAGTACATGTGAGGAGTTGTTGACGCTGATTGAGTTCGCGTACAACAACATCTATCAGGCATCGATCAAGATGGCGTCGTACGAGGCATTGTACGGTCGCAAGTGCCGATCACCCCTTTATTGGGATGAGATCGGTGAACAGTAGGTTCTCGGTCCGAAGCTGATTGAGGACACGGTGGAGAAGGTCGCCTTGATCCGTGAGAGGATGAAGGTGGCACAGGATCGACAGAAGCGTTACGCTAACCAGCGTAGACGAGATGTCTAGCTCGAGAAGGAAGATAAGGCATTCCTGAAGATCACGCCTCTGAGAGGCGTGGTTCGCTTCGGGAAGAGGGGGAAGGTGCAGCCCCGTTTCTTAGGCCCATTCGAGATTATCGAGCGAGTGGGCGGGGTAGCATACCGGTTGGCGTTGCCACCCGAGCTTTCGGGTGTGCACAACGTCTTCCACATTTCGATGCCGAAGGATTACGTGCATGACCCAACGCACGTATTGAGTTACAGTAAGCTTGACGTCGGGTAGAACCTGACGTACGAGGTGAAGTCGGTGGCTATTCTGGACCGAAAGGTTCAGCGGCTGAGGAGCAGAGATGTAGCGCTCGTTCGAGTCCAGTGGACTCGCCACGACGAGGCCGAGGCCACGTGGGAGCGAGAGGAGGAGATTCGAGCACGTTATCCAGAGTTCCAGTTCTGATTAGTATTATATATTTTCGATTCCTAGTTTATAGTCGAGTCGGACTTATATTTAGTTTTGGAATTTCCGAGGACGGGAATATTTTAAGGAGGATAGATCCCAAATTTTTAATTATTATTTATGGAGCTCGACTATATTTCCAAAAATATTAAGTTTCCAAAATTTGATGCATTTATTATATTTATTTGCATTAAAATAAATTATTAGCATTAAAGTAGCATTAAAGTCTAAGCCATGAAGAATTCATTCGATTTTAATTATTAAAGTCGGATTTATCTAGCCAAGTATCAGTTATATTTTTATAACCGAGCCTTGGATTAATCGAAATTTTATTTAAGCGAATCGAAGCCCGATAATTTGATTATTCGAGCCCAATTAATTTTCGAGCGAATGCAAATAATTTAGTGGGCCATTTCTAATTCGTAGTCGAATTAATTTCTGAGCCCAAGCGATAATTTAAATATCGAGCCCTTGTAGTATTTTAGTTCCAGGCCCAATATTTAATTTCGGCCCAAGTCGAAATTATTACTACAAGCCGTTATATTTTTTTAATTAACCGACCATTTATACTCCTAAGTCAAGTCTAGTAATTATCCTAG